CTGAAATTTTTTTTTTTTTTTTTTTTTTTTTTTTTTTTTTTTCAAAGAAGAGAAAATGCAGCTGTCTGGAAAGTAGTGTTTGGGATCAGCAATCTTGATCACCCATCAAGTTTCATGCAGACCCGACTAGTGAGGACCATCATCCTCCATCCACGCTACAACAGAGCAGTTGTAGACTATGACATCAGCATTGTGGAACTAGATGAGGACATCAACGAGACAAGCTATGTAAGACCTGTCTGCTTGCCCAGCAAGAACCAGTTGGTTCAGCCAGACACCTACTGCTACATCACGGGCTGGGGACATATGGGCAACAAAAGTAAGATTATTTCTGTGACTTTTGAAAAACATGTGAAGCTTCTACTGAGTCAATCAAACAAGAGATACCATTACAAACTTTTATCCATTTATACTATAACTGGATCTTAGTAAATACTAGGGAAGTGTAACTACTCTTGAAGGGATCAAGCTGTGACTAGAGCCTAGTTTTTCCAAGCAGCAGGCTCAATTTATGCTCCTTAATATTTACTTAGACACTGATTTGATTTTTAAAAATATTGAGGATCTGGAAACCTCTATCAAAGAAGTCCCTCGCATTAGTTATGATTTTGCCCATCCAAGTTGCAGTCAGAATGGTATTGCAAAGGTACCACCTCTTCAGTGTAGGGGAAATACTCTTAGCTCAGTGAAAGCTGGAGGCACTGGAAGCACTGGCATACCGGCTGGAGGAACAGGGTCATGAATCATTTCGTACTTGTGAGAAAATTCATTCCACAATCACAAGTGTTGTTTTTGTATCTCTGAGTAGAATTTTAGTGTGTTGTCTTGTTTTGGGGCTGCCACAATCCTTGACAAGAACTGCTGTGTTATGTAAACCTTTGTTCAGGCAAAATAATTCTGCATGAATAATATGCAAATTAGCCTGGCCCCAACACTTTTAGAGCACTAGCCATTGTGTTTCTCTTTGATATTACTACAATAATTACTTGGGATGGCTTTTCCATATGCTGGGTAAGGAAATCTTCCTTTCTGTACTGCCGCAGTGGAACTTCAGCTGTAGTGGCCAGTTTAGATGAGGTAAAAAATTAAATTGGATACGTGAATGGTAAGCTGTTTACTAGAATCTCTACCCATCTAAAATATCCCTATATGATGTCAGGCAAAAAACTCCAACAGAATGTTTTTGCAGACTGGTAAATAGTTTTTTTGTTCTCTAATGTGGTCAGAGTTGATTTTAAAGTTTTATGCTAGGAAGCATAAACCCATCGTGGCTACATAGCATTTGGTACTGCTTACCCTAGGTTGAACAACTTTGATTAGAATTTGAGCACATTCAGTTGCTTGGGACTAGGAAGAAGTCTTCTATTGTGTCTTGAACATATTACAATAATTTCATTAGGTTCAAATCCTGATTTCCTGGTGCATCCTGTAAGTCATATTTACCCAAACATAACCGAAATGGCTGTGATAATTACCGAGTTTTACCATGACAGACACCAAGAAACAGCGAGGTCCTGCCCTGGAAGAGTGAATCAAACCTGTTGTCCACCTCTTTCACATTCCTATTTTCCAGCCACCACTGCCCCCATGTTGAAAGTCACAAACTGCAGCACGTCAAGGTGCTAATGCTCAATAAACAGGAAATATCACATCAGTCCCAGTGTGCTTAGTCCTTCTCCAGAATGCAACACGTAGTGCTCTTTACATTTAATAGATATATAGAGAGCAATATTTATAATGTATCCCAGTGGAAATGTTTGTTGTACCTCATGGAGTCATAATAGGTAAGTATTTATGAATTTGTGTATAGTAAACAATTCTGTTTTTCAGTGCCTTTCAAGCTTCAAGAAGGAGAGGTTCGCATAATTTCCTTAGAACAATGCCAGTCATATTTTGACATGAAAATCATCACCAGCAGGATGCTATGTGCTGGCTACGAATCTGGCACTGTGGACTCTTGCATGGTAGGCTTCTCTGTAAGGAGAAACAGAAAGTTTCCAGAAACAAAATTGCTTTTAGAAATCAAAATACTGTGATGTTAATTAGGTGTAGCATACTTTCTATTCTAGGAATGATAGCTGTCTATTTACATACTTAAACCCAATTTTTATTATTGCTGTTATTTTTAATATTGATGTAAAGAACTTAACTTCATGCTAGCGAAATGCTGCTTGAAGACTCTAGGGTTTATCTGCATTTGTTACATTTTTTAATTTGTACGAGCCTTTTGCAGGTTATTTTTTGTACAAATGTAATGGGTAATAAATACTGGTAATGCTGCATGTAGCTACACAGTTCAGCAGGTTTTAACAGCTGAGTTATTTGCTGAAGGCAAATGGCTGTAGGAAATGTGATACAGCTTCGATGATGAGTGCTGCCCACGTGTATAATAGACTGTTTTTAACTTTCCTGTTGCAGGGTGACAGTGGAGGACCACTTGTGTGTGAGCATACTGCCGGGCACTGGACTTTGTTTGGTTTAACATCTTGGGGCTCTGTCTGCTTTTCCAAGGTTTTGGGACCTGGAGTTTACAGCAACGTGTCACATTTTATTGAGTGGATTGAAAGACAAATATACATCCACACCTTTCTGCTAAACTAACTCCAGATGGTAAGAATTGTGCTGGCAGACAAAAGAGGAATCAGCCCTTCAATACTGAAGGTTTTGCAGTCCAGAAATTCTGTGAAAAGGAGTTTCAAGCTCTATCTATTCTTGTTGTGGAGCTATGGAATATGCAGTGTGTGTTACCGGTAAATCCTCTGCTCATGAATATACTTTGTGGTAGAATTAATAATCCTTTTGACTTTTCTTTTAACTGTGTTGTGGTGCTATTCTAAACACTGCAAAAAGCTTAAAAGAAAAGAATCAACCACTTTCTGCCTTTCAGCTATTAAAACTAAGCAGTAGCACAGACTAGAAAAACTTTTTAAAATAACCTATTTTAATACTACTCTATTAGTAGCACATGCATTTTCACTCACTTCTTGTGATGAGGAAGGAACTTTGTGCATTCACGTGGCACCACAGGACATACATTCACAAGGACAACTCTCAACAGGGCCAAACCACATGCTGGAGGGTGTGGAAGAGATGGATGGGTTTGTACATCCATGTGCCACAGGACACATCAAAGCACACGTGCAGGTCTCCAAAGGTGTGTAGCCATATGCTCCTGGCGTGCCTGAGCTAGTGCATTTTGTCCCTCAGGGTGGTTAATTTGCACGGCTATAACTCTGTACTGTCCTGATTCCACAGCTTCTGTTCCCACAGCCAGACTGGGCATCTCTCTGGAGTGCTGGAGAACCAGTAGGCCAACAGACCCATAACTACCAGCAGAGGCACTAGAGACCAAAACTTTATTGTTCAGACTCTGGACAGCTCTAGCACTTAATCTTCTGAAGCTTCCAATGTCCTAATGTGTCCAGGGAACACCCATGCCTCAGCAGCACCACACTGAGCAGTGCATTTATCAAACCTGTGCCCAACTGGCTTTCCTCTTCACAATGTATAATGTGTTCAGCATACAAAGCATTCACTAACCATCTCCAGCCCTCTTAAAACTTAAGAGGGTTGGCAATACCACTGCAATGGTTTTGCCTCCTAGAGTCAGCTAGTTTGGACATATTGTGAGACATGGAAAATGACATGAAAATGCAAATTTAAAATGCAAAAGATGCAGTGTGGGCACTGTCCCAAATACTGGGGAACTGGTTAATTTTTATAGGTCTCTTCTTGTACCCTGCATTTAAAGTTTAATTTTGACTAGGAAGATAAAACATTTGGGAAAAGGAAAAAAGCAGAAAGAAAATGAGTGATAGAAGGCTTGGGATTTCAGCTTCTGTTCAAGTGAGTATTAGAAATACCAGAAGCAAAGTACAACAGCTTCACCAGGAGGAGCCCAGCTCAAGTGCTTGGTAGCTAGATGTGGAGTGCTCTGTGCAGTAGTAGGACAGTAAGCCTTAACTTCACTTAACTCCAAGAGAATTTGGTTGGAAAAGATTATGATGGAGCTTGGCACCTTTTTATGGTGCTAGAGGGAAAGTGTGTCCTATCAACTGCTGTAGATGATGTGCTGCACAGCTATCAGCTTTTAGGAGGCCAGAATAGGACAAGTCAGGAATCTGAGGATTACAGGACAAATTCTACTGGGGAACAATGCATTTCAAATTTGTGTTTTCAGTGCTGTGCCTAGTCCCCTGTGAATACAGCCCAAGGCACATAATAATCCTCTTTGCTACCTCTGGCACGGCCCCATAACAGCAGGGCAGGGCCTTGTCAATAGCACGACTGCTGCATGTGAAAACGTGCATAAAAAAGACCTAAGACATGGACATTTCAGGTACTATGAATCATGTTGCAACTCATCTCCACAGATCTACTGCTTTCATGAAGGTTAATCTCTTATCTCCGTATCTTCTCCTTAAACATTGCTAACGTTAGAACATTAGTCACACTAGACTGCACTGTTGACATGAATATTAATAAATACTCAATATTTATGTTATGGATTCTGAAACTGTATAAGTGATTATTCAGTCACTGTTTCATGCTCAGAAGGGAAACTCTTCAAGGCTTTGCTAGGTTTGATTGTTGGGGTTTTTTAGTACCTTAAGGATATAACACTGAAAATACTCTTCTTGCCCCTGCTATAAATGAGAGAAAGCAGCTGTGACCATGTTTATCTAGTGCAAGTAGATTACGGCTGAAGCATGTTGTTTATGTCCTTGCCTCAAGGATATGGAGGCTGGAGCTCTCAGTCCTCATTCAGCTTTCCTCTGGGGGTGTAGGGCAGAAAAGCTCTGAGTCCTGGAGCTGGTTCAAGAGTTCCCTGAGGAGAAGGTGGCCCAGTGGTTGTTAAAGCCAGCTGGCTGGACTAAGGTTCTGGCCAGGTCTGTTTCCCAAAGAGGTGCTGCTGCAGAATGAGCAACCCAGCCTGGCTTCTCTCCACCAGGTACGGTCGGTGGTTAGCAGCTTTGAATTTTGTAAAGCGCCTGAGTTCATAAAATTATTCATGTAGATATTAGCATTACCAAACGATAACATGTAACTACACATCTTAATTACCTGGACTTGACCTACCACCAGCTTGCAAGCAGTCCCTCCCAGGAAATGAGGCAGAGTCCTGCTTAAACATAAGGTCCAGGCCCATCCTATATGGGACATCTGAAGAAATTCCAGTCTGAACCACAGCCCAGATGGCTCTAGGAGGGAGCACTTGGGTCTTATCCTTTCCCACAACTGTGTCTGACACAACATTCCATGTAAAGAGGAAATTTGTAATTTTACAGATGTATTTTTATACAGGGTTTTTTACGTGTGCACATGAAATAGGCAAACATGCTCCTCCTTCCACTGCATCAGGCCTTTTCCTGTGTGCTGACACAATGGCTATGATCACAGTTATGCTGTTTGTCTCACAGGTGTAGCCTCCTTGTAAGGTAACATTTGTTGGTTTTGCTTCTACCACAGCTGTATCTCCAAATGGAAGCAATGCCACTCAGTCAAGCCAATGTGTTTCTGTCTAGTTGTACTAATAAAAATTTACAATCATTTTCCAAATAACTTCTGTTGAAAATGTGTTTTAATCTTTGGAGAGACTAAATGATAATATGGAGGTAACAAGTTATAACTTTAGCAATAATGCCTAAAAATAGCCTTCAAGAGGCATTTTTGAATCCTTAGCTGACTTTTTTTTAGCAGCCCTGTTAGTACTGCAATACTTGTGGAGATTCTGGCACTACTACCACTGTACAACTTTTAGTTTTTTCTGTGTGTATGCTTCCAATACAGAATATTACTATGAATACTGCTGCTAACAACTACTCTGAGCTTAGAAATCTGAAGAACTAAAGCTGCAATCAAATCTGCAATCTGAACACATTTTGTTCTATAATTTTGCTCTGGAATGCAATTAGTTTTAAATTTAAAAAATCTCTTAGCAATCTGAACACATTTTGTTCTATAATTTTGCTCTGGAATGCAATTAACTAAGTTGTACACAGAATTTCAACAACAGGTCCACATCCTGAAATCAAAATAATAAGCAGACAGAAGCTTAAAACAGTTAAAATTTACCTTTCCACTGCAATAAGAAAGCTAGGAGCATGAGGGCAAGAGTAACATCAGAATAGTAATTTTGGAACAAATAATACAAACCTCACACTAAAATTCAGCTATGGGAGGGGAGTGTTGTTAAGACAGTCACATTTGGAAGTTGCCCATTAGCCTTGGCCAAGAGCCAGGGCTGGTGGGAGCAGTGGGTTCTCTGCTTTAGCTGGTCCTCAGCCAGTCCTCAGGCTTGTGCTGTGGCTAGTGGGGCTGTGGAAAAAAACAGCTTGGGCTAAACATCAGCTCAGACTGTGCCCCAGGTACAGACCAAAGCTCAGTGTGCTGCCAAAATACTCAGCAAAGGCTGTCGCTGACTGCCACCCACAAATGTTTAGCACAGGTGTGGTTGCTGTGAAAGAAAAAAAATTAAAACATGTCCTTTCTTCTGTAAATCAAATACTGCATATCAAAATCAGAGTCAAGACTGTTCTAGATGTAGCTGCAAAGTTTGGGGCAGCTGAAGGTGGTGGTTTTGGTTTGTTTTAAAATTATAGAAGTGTAAATGCTGTGCTTCTTTTCATGACATGTGGAAGGCACCTGTGAGATGCTCTTGAAAAGCTTATTCTCAAAATGGAAAAGTCAGATCATGCTGTGCCTAAGTGCAGAAGCAAGCAGGTGACTGTGACATTTTCAGTGCTAAAAAAATAATAAAGGGAACATTGAACTTCTGGAAAGCACAGGGAGAATAATGTGTTTCCACCCTTCATTTGGCACTACTTTAGTTATGGCAAATTAATATTTTAAAGTTTTTATTAAAGACTCACGACCCTCATTTCCCCTTCAGTAAAAGACAGCAAGTAATCACAGCAAATGCCCTCAGCTATTTCTGCTGTTTGTCCACCACAAAAAAAAACCCCAACAAACCCAACCACAAAACCAAAAAGACTAACAATCAAGCAAAAAAAAACAAAACAAAAAAACCAAAAAAACCCCAAAAAACAAAAAAACAAAACTAACCCCCAAAGCAAGTTTTACCCAACAGGTAATTATGTTATGACCCAAACTGCTTGTTTAAATCCTCTAATAAAACACAGACTGCTGAGGAGTTTTAAGCAATATGGAGTACCAATATGCAATATAAACACACATACACACACACATACATGTTATTTTTCACTACTTCAAGTGGTACAAAAGCGCTTACAATCTCAGCAGAGAGGAACAGTGTCCTGAAAGCCTCACTGCACTAAGCTGTTAGTAATGGAGTGCTGAGACTTGTAAAGAGTCATATAATAGCAATTTAAATGTCCCAGAGGCGTCATGGAGCTAGTCTCAGGTCCTCCAGATGACTCCCATTCATGTTTCTTCATGTAGTTACTTTGATGCCATGGCTTAGTCAGAAGGTTTTGGAAGATCTTACTCGGAATACTTGCAGCTTTGTATGGAGAAAAATGCAAACTCCTGACACTAAATGATCATCTACCTGTCAAATCTGCTGGTAGGTTCTGCTTCTGCAGCAGAGGCAACAAGAGGGCAAGTCACAGGCTGGTGTTGTCCCCAAACTCTTTTTAACAGAGACAGGGGGGACA